GAAAAAAACTGGATAAAAAAAAAAAAAAAAAAAAAGAGAGAGAGAGAAAGGAGTAATGGCTCCGGGAGGGTCTGTGGGAGCCTGAAGCATCAGGACAATCTGCCTGCACCGGAGCAAACGGTTTTGCCCCCAGTGCCCATACGCCGGGGACTCTGGCGAGCAGGCGGGATGCCGCCTCTGTCAGCGCGAGCTGGAGGAGTGAGGGCTGCTCGACCACAAAAGTTTCCATTGTACGGCTGCCACATCTGCAGCAGCCCGCCTGGTTCGGGGCCCGAGGCAACTCCCTCCTGGCCGCCAGCCAACCAAAGTACACCAGAGCAATTTATACCTTTCCAAAATGCAAATAATTCAAATTACAGACATAACACAAAGCTGAAGCAGACACATTTCAGGCATTCCCGTTAAAGTTTACTCTCTGGAATTACCGTACCCAAATGGGCAGTTGTTCTACGGGGAGGGGGGCGAGACGGAGGCAGGAGAGGAAGAAGAGGAGGAGGCAGGGAGGAAAAGGGAGAACGGAGAAAACGGCTTTTCCAAAGGTCTCATTTCATTCCCTTTCATTTTGTTATTTACTTTTACCAAGTAATAAGAAGTGTCTTCTCCAAACCAAATGCCTGGCTTTGTTTCAGCGTTTTTAAGATTTATAGTCCAATATTTTGAACAGAAAGACATCTCTTCATATAGCTAAAAAGTTGTGTCCAGGTATTATACTGGAGTTGTTCTGTTTTGTGGGTTCGTCTACAAAAAGGAATTAAAAGCAAAACACCCGTGCACAGAGCCGCAGGGCAGAAGCCCTGCAGAGTCCCGGGCGGAGTGCCTGCTCCCCCGGGGACCAGCTGCAGCACCAGTTGACCAGGCAAAGCCAAGGCTTCACCTGGGGACGCGTGCCAAGGGCTGGGAGAAGGACCCTCGAATCCCTCCTCCTCCGAAGAGGCACCGCAGGAGTGCGGCCATGCCGGGGGAGCGAGAAACCCCCCGTTTCGCACGGGCCCGCCGACTGCCATCAGACAGGTGGCCATCAGCCCTGCCGCCAGCTGAAGACACCGGCTTTTGTCAGGAAGCCTGACATTTACAGACCGATCGCTGTTATTTATAGCCATCCCTGCTTCGGGTGCACTTCGCCACCAGCTGCTTCAGCCTTTGCTTTTTTTTCAGCGCTGTGACACTCGGAGCACCTGGGATTGCTAATGATGAAAATACCACAAACCTACCGCGTTACGTGGGGTGGATTTTCAGCTTTGCAAAGCATAAACACCCCATTTTAACATGCGGCGGCTGAACGGTGAATGGGCCTTTGTAGTCTGCTCTTATCAGCCACTCGCTCCAGTGTTAAAGGAAACTGCGCACAAGTCCAGAAGCAAAAATACTCTAATTCATCAGGGAATTCCCTGCAGTATGAGTCACTGAACGGCTTCCCCACCACACCCAGCTACAAGATTTCCACATAAAAAGGCACTGTAGAGGCCTGTTTTAACACAGAAGCAGCACTAAAAAGTAGCTGTGTAAATATAGCGGCACCAGTTACTCGCACATAAAGCCTAGCAGACCATGACATATGGATTTTCTTCACTGAAGAGCAACACAAAGAGCTGTAAAGACTTTCCAAAGACGTTTTTCTACCATCTTCCCCTCCTCGCTGCCCATCAAGGACAGATTCCCCAGGGTTTCCAGGGCTGGGTTTACGTTCATACCCCAGGGAACTGCAAGTGTAGTGCCAGGGGTTGACAAGCTCACAACTGTCAAACCACTAGTATAACTTTCATTACAGACCGATGGGTGGCAGAAAGGGGAAAGAAAATAGAGGACCAAAAAAACCCAAAGCCTGGAAACTCGGGAGGGTATAACATCTGGCAACCACAAACCTTCCCTCTACGAAACGGGCATAATGGGAGCGTTCAGATATATTTAAGCGATTTCACTTTACTACTGGAGGTTAAAACAGTTTATATTCTTTAGTAGTTCTGTGTTCACTTGAGATATGAGAAGAATAGACATTATCCGGGATTTCACTGCCTGTACACAATGTACATTTTATGTTCTTCCAGCCCGTGGCTCAACAAAGTTTGACTGCACTGGCTGGACTGTAAATCTGTATTTACATTCATATATTGCAAGTAAGACGGTGAAACTAGCTCCACCCTCCCAAGGGAACCCACTACTTGATTAATGTATTGTGAGATTACCTGAAACAATAATGTCTGTATTACATCCCAGATTACTTTAACATGCCCATGACAGGCAGGGCACTGCTGCAATGCAGAATGACTAGACAGCATAATTTTGAGGTGCTCTCCAAAGGTTTTCTA